TCTTATGATGTTCTTGTCCTTTATATTGTTTCTTCATTCGTTGTAGTATCACAGGTCACTAATATGTTTGTATTTCGTATTTCGTAGTGATGTCAATGTTTTGTATATGGACCAAGAAGTAATATCGTATTAGTATTATGAGAGATCGGAGGTGTACTGTATTGTATTGGATCGTGTATATTGTGATTGACGGCTAATTTTAATATATTTTTAATACTATTTAAATAAATCACAATATGACGCATCTACAATATCTTATAGTAGATAAATTGTACTACCCATTTGTAGTATATTAAGACAAGAAAATCTTAATGAATATTATGATTTATTTTTATACATACATTCATCAACAGAGTGAAAGTGGTGTGTACATATGTTTTTAATGCTACTATAATTTGTGCCCTTTTATTTATAAGACTTGTGGGACTAGGTGTTATACTGTTGATAATTTTTATGCCAGCATAATAGGCACTCTTCTGAAAACATGAGAAGTAGGCAGTAGGTCTATGGGGCTGATACTTTTTTCTTAACACTGTGTATAGTGGAATTAGTTAGAAAATGTTCTTGGTTATTTACAGAGAAATTCAAAAAAAGAGATTCTAGGGTTGACACCAGCTATTAACCCAACAATTCTCTTTCGTAAAGTAAATTTATTTTTTTATATTAAATAAATTACCTCCAGAATTTTTTCCATATTTCAATATAGAGTGAAAATAGGCAAAATAAATTATTTGAGTCTCTCAGTGTTGCTGACGTTTCAGAGGTGCTTACTGCTTCATCAGGTCATTGCTGTTATGGTAGTGGCAGTAAGGAACTCTGAAACGTCAGTCAGTTTCTACCAGACTGCACGGAACAATAACACAGAAGACAGCCATCTTCAGATTTGCAGTTATATTTCTGTTATGAAGGATGGGTGGTAATTATCATTGTTACCAACTGAGTTTCTGCCATTGGTTGCTGCTATGGTTTAAAATCAGATGGTAGCACAATATATGATTGATCACAGACCAGATTCGTTCGCAACGTTTAATATTCTGCTAGGGGTGTTCTATTTCATCCTGTGATATTTGGGTTGGGTGTATCTGCTGTCTTTAAGATGCATACTGTGTCATATCTAATATTTTCAGCAATGTTGGATGGGATTTGGGCAATTGAAGCCTCTACTCTGCAGTAATATATTTTGTGGGTAGATGTTTCATTGTGAGAGCAAAGTTGAGGCCTCTTGCTAGGAAAACAGTGGTTGTAATGGTTTCAAATGATTGTCTGGACTTGGTGACTGATTGTCCAGTTTTCGGGGTGAGCGTTAGAGAGGTCATTGCAGCCTCTTGGACCGCACCATTAATCCGATTCATTACATTCGACTTGTCATCTACTGCCTACTCTACAGCTCTACATATCTTCCAAAAAATGACCAACCAATACAAATTTAATCTGAAGATGGCACCGGGCTGCTGTTATGTCTTGTTGGATTTTTATATAAGCCTGGTTGTTATTTGAAAACAATTTCTGTGTACAAGAAATAAGGGATAGGATATATTTCAAAAGTAGCTCCTTTTACCATGTTAATTGCTCGGGTAACTCAGTAATAATAGTTTCATATAGCACTACAATACTAGGAAGTGGAGCTATACCTTCATTTCGCCATGTGTTTTCATGGCGTAGTACGTAACTAGAGCCACGGTGGTCTAGCGGTTAGAACGCTGGCCTTGTAATCCTGGGGTCTCGGGTTCGATTCCCGGCGGTGCCCGAATTTATAACTTGTGTTGGGCAAGGCAACACGGAGTTTTCCTCCGGGGGCTTCCCCGGTTTCTCCGTGGCATACCAACAATTACTCCATTCACACACAGAGGAAGGCAATGGCAAACCACTTCTGGATCATCTGCCAAGAACGTATATGAACAGGTCCCAGTCCGAGAGAAGGATGGAAGGATCCGGTTCATATGGACCTGTTGTCAGACAGAACACTAAATAAATATAAAGTACGTAACTAAGAACCAGAGGCAACACCTCCGTTTCCTTCCGCTCAAAACACATTCAGAATATATTAAAAGCTCTCAAATCTTTTTATTGACAGTAGGGAGTAACCCAAACCGTTGTTCCCATTAGGTAGGTTACCTGTAATCCTATTCCTGACAAACAGTTGTATCAATGGCACAGGAAACACCGAAATAAGTAGGTGGTGCCACTTGTTTCCATCACCGAAGAGTAATCTGTGCTTGCGATGTAATGTGGCAACAGCGCTGTGAAGTAGATAATTTTGCATGTAAATATTTGCACGTCTAAGTGTGTGTTTTAGTATCAAGATTGAATTAACATTATATAAAATGTCGAATAAATTCGATGCGTAAGTTTCTTGTCTTATGTCTACATTACTTTGTTTTTCCTTGTTTTCGTAACTGAGCTCCCCATCACATACTAACCTAAAAGGTCTGTCTAATCTGACAGAGACGTGTAAGATTCGTGATGTGGAAGGAGTTTTACGTTTGTGTATAATAGCCATCGAAACTTTGTAACAATAAATGCTATAAAATCTTATATAATTTTTATGACGAGTATATGCTAGGGCTAAATTACCGGGGTTGTAGGCGGTGCCCCATGTTGCTTGGGGCTCATCCATATGTCAGGCTGAGTAAATAATTTATGCATTATGGATATTAAGTATATATTGTAACTTCTAAATTGTTTACCATCTCTCTTAATGGTACTAGCCTAGCTTAGAATAATGGCAGACACTGAAAGGAGAGCCTCATAGAATAGACTAGAATGTAAGGAATTGTGTAAGAATTGTAATATTCTTCTACTAGCCAGCGAATTGTTGCTCTCATCATTATCATTTGTAGTGGACAACATAGAAACATTTCGAACAATCTTTGATATCCACAATATAAGTACAAGATACTGATATAACCTTCATGTGCCAAACACTAGCCTTGTTAAAGAGGAGATTACTATAATGGAATTAAGCTATTCAATTATCTCTCCCCCCCACTGTAAAAGGTCTGAGTCATTATATAAAGAATTTTAAGCCATTATTAAAGAGTATGTCCTATCTCACTCTTACCCTCACTCCATATAAGAATTTACATCAACCAGAAGTTTTTTGCTATTATAAATACATGTAATGAATAGTGGTGATGCTTTTTGTATAGTTGACTAAATCATACCTATTGATGAGAGTTTTTTTGCTTTGAAACATACCAACACTCCTCAAATATGTCACGTTTTATATTTATGTTGTACACTTCAAAACACCGATATGCGGCCCCACATAGCACTACCTGCATTTTTCTTGCACTGTCACTCATATCTCTTATGAGAAACAGGTGTGACAATTCTCACTAGAGGAATTAATTGGCTAATAGTTGCTGAAATATACCTTGAGCCGATTAACAGCTCTATGGCAGCAAGTCTGTGAGTGGGATAACAGGAACAAGTTAAAGTCTCTGCATTATGAATCAGTTTAGCAAGAGGACAAGTTGGAAATTTGTTTTGGCATTGTGTGATGTAAGGAGGAAGAAGCTGTTTATAATAGTAATGTCTAATAAGTGGAAAAGAAATGTTTTTGTCCACTTCCATGTCTATAATTGGATTGAGTAATTGTTTGTCATCCTGTCACCTTTGCCAGACTATCCTGTAGAATTTGTGGCTACAAAGCATTTCCATTTTTGTCACAAAAAAGGTTGCTTTCTGTTGCTTGTGGACTGTGCATATTTGTGAGTATATACATGTCAAATTTATCTGTGCATATCATTTCCTTCAAGTCATATCTTGTCCTGGACTTATATTGCCATGTTTTAATAATTTGTTTGGTCATGTCATGTGACATTCCTGTTCTCTTAGGTTTTACTATTCCACAACAGTTTATTATCTGTTTAGTCAGATCATCAGATAAGTCAAAAGAGGGGAAGAATTTGCCCATGTACTGCTTATGTCCTTGTCATATCTTTTTTGTCAAGCACCATACTGTAACATGTTGTCATATCTGCAGTCATTCGTGTCCTGTCCTTCCGTGCCAAATGTGGAACCAGGCTTGTCACACAATTTGTAAATTGTCATTCCAAAAGTTTGTTTTGTCTGAAATCTATTTTCCATTTGAAGTACTAAACTTTGTTCAAAGCAAGATGTTCATAAGGAGCATAATATTTTGAACAGGTGTTGTTCAAGAAATCAGAAACATTTCTCAGTGTCTGTAGTTAGTCATAGTTTGGATCTTTTTTTGTTAGTAACCCTGCCATTGTTTGAAAAGTGTAGGAATACACAAAAATGCTGTATGGAGTAGAGTCCTTGTTGATATGCGGTGTCACATTGTCTTTTGTCAGGTGTATCACCAGCGAACTGATGGACACTCTCATTTGGACTGTCCATTGTTTGTCCCCATTTGGACCCCTTGGGGGTGGTTCAATCCATCCATTGGCACTACAGCCCTTGGCCTTGGCCTCAGCCTCCTCCCATGTGGGAGGTTTCCTAGTCTTTGAAGTGTGCGTCTGTGAGTAGTGAGTGACAAGCCCATTGCCTCTTCACAATTTCTATTCAATCCTGATTTGTTTGCCATCTAGTAGAGAATCAGGAGAGACAGGGGTGAGAAATGGTCACTGAATTTTACTTATGAAACATCTCATCCATGCTCGTAAGGTTCTTTTACACGCTGTAAATCTGCGACGTGGGAATGCCAGCTTTACTTCCCCTCTGACGGAAGTTGTGCTATGGATTTCTGTCACCCTTAAAAATCCATTGACCTCGGCCAGGTTTGAACCCATGAACCTTGGGTCCAACGGTGAGCACGCTAACCACTAGTCCACCGAGGTGAACCTTGGGGGTGCTTGCCAGGGTAGAATTAGGGATGTTCTCTCAGCTTCCTCTTAGTTTATTTCAGCTGTGCAGTCATGTAAAACTGAACAGTTCTTGACTCAACACATGCAGTATGAAGGTATTTTTAGATTGTGTTAGCTGTATGAATAGTTTATAATCTTTTCCTGTGGACACGGTGACATTTCAAGCTGATTCAAATTCTCAAATGAACTTTGTTGCAATGGAGGGAGTGTATTTCCTTGGATAGAAACAAGGCCTTTGATGCAAATGAAATGTATTGCCCTGACCCTTACACCAGTTTGAGCAGACTGAGTCACTGTAGAAATGGTCTTTCAATGAAGTTTGCTCATTCATGTGATGTTTGCTAAAGCAGTTAATTCCAGGTATGGACCTGTATGCCTTATGACATTTTTTACTTTTGTGATTTTCATTGTTGATAAACTCTTCTGTAATCAGATCACAAATAAAGATTGTATTCGTTTCACCATGAGGCTTGTTAGACCAAACAGACATCCATTTATTTATTCTAAGCCAGGTACAGGGTTCTCTAAGACTATCTGCCACTATAAATATGCAATATGGGGGTAAATTCAGAATATAATTAATTAAAACATGAAAAAATAATCTAAACAACTGAACATAAAGTAGGTGTGTATGTAAAGACTTGTTGTTATGAAACTTCGTATCAGGTGGATGGGTTTATTCTCTGTTATACTGTTTTTATTGTGAGTTTTTGTCTTATAAAATGCAACAAATGCACTGTATTTTGTAACATCCAACACTTTGAGATGGTTTAAATTAAATTAAAATTAATGTCTGTAGACCCAAGGAATTTCAATGCTACATGGTAAAGGTTAAAAAAGCAGTTTTGTACCCAAGAAGAGATTACATTGTCCATATTAGTGAAGAAGTTCTTTATCAGTCTTGATGGACAGGTGACATTTTATCTTATATCTTGTATATTTCTGTTCATTTCATAATACTTTCAATGTTACAGATAAGAGCACGTATACACTGCAGTCGTTCATATTATTTTATTGCTATACAGTCTCTAAATTAATAGGATACAGTTTATTCAAATATGTTTTATAATTTTTATGGTATTAAAGTATTTTTGTTACCATTATGATGAATACATATCTTGTGCCCCTTGAGTTAGCCTGTTAAATGCAAATTAAAGCTCTTTAGCACTTTTATTGAACTTGTCTTTTTTGAATTGTTCTGAGTGCCTGTTTTGAAGAGAAGAGAGATCTTCTAAATATTTATAAACTTATTTACATTCTGTGATAAGTACAAACTACACTTCATACTTGCAGTCACAGTCATAGCGACAGTCACATTTAAACGAAAGACTGTTCAGTCATTTGTGGCCTGCTGTGTACTTTTATTCAGTTTGGCAAAATAGGTTTATATGTGTTAATGCTGGAAAGTTCAGTTGGTCTGGAAATGTACAGTAATGTAATTTCACACCTTACATGTCTGGCCGTAAAACTTTTATTGTTTCTGTCATCAGAACATTAGTTTTTGAATTAGTGTTCACACTTCTCTGTAGGTGCTTTCATTCAATCACAGTTTCAGTCAGCAGAAAATAATTTCAGAATTCTGTATATGGTAAGAAGTTGTGTAATTCATAGTGTCAGTATGCCAAATATTTAGTGGGAAGTGTGTCTCATTAAACAAAAGGGTTAACTTACTTGAAGAGGTTTTTGGTATTCAAAATTGAAATGACTTTGGAGGAAGATACTGAACATTTAGGATGTCCATCCACCCATCCACAAGTAATACATATCTTCTTCTTTCTCGGCTCTATAACCCGGTGAGAGTCTTGGCCGCCTCCTTTCTGGAGGTTTCCTGGTCTTTAATGTGTGTGTTTGTGAGTAGTGAGTGACCAGCGCACTGACTGTCCTCAATTTCTACTCCTGATCCTGATTTGTCTGCCATTTAGTGGATAATCAGGAGAGACTTGGGTGAGAAATGGCCGCTCAATTAAGCTTACAAAACATCTTGTTCATGCTCATAAGGTTTTTTTACATGCCATACATCTACGACATGGGACCGGCTTTACTCCCCCTCCAAAGGAAGTTATGCTACAGATTTTGATCACCTTTAAAAATCCATTGACCTCGGCTGATTTTGAACCCTGGAACCTTGGGTTCAGTGGCAAGCATGCTAACCGATAGTCCACCAAGGGCGACAAGTATTACATATGCAACTGTTATATGAATTATAGAACTTCACCAAAATAGGTGTCTTGACAGTCCATGAGTAGGCTAATGAGGTGAGAATCTCATTTGTATCATGCCAGAGTATTTTGACACTTCATGTGAATGAGTGACGTATTACTTACAGGCTTGTCTGCTAATGAGCAGAAGGAGAATTGGGTCAGAGTATGTCAGGAACCTTGGGATATACTTCTTGGTAACCCATAATTCCTTTCTGAGCACATCATTGGTATTGAAAAATGGATTTGTCAATGAAATTCGAAAAGAAAGTACCAGTCTTTACAGTGGGGAAGTCCAGCAATGGTGCACACACATTTATTCCAGTGTGAAGAGCCAGTTTCCTGTAATTATTTGACATAGATGAAATTTGGCATCAGGAATTGTTCCACAAGGACAAACTGCAAATTAACAATTTATAGGTTTTGCAGTACCTGTTGAAAAAGTGTCCTAAGAAACAATTCACTCTAGAATGGTTTCTGTGTCAGGCAGTGCTCTGGCTCAGTTAGCTTTATGTCTGGAATTTTTCGCCAAAAACTGCAAGACTTTTTTTTACACTTCCATACTCACCAGATGTATCCATGTACCTTTTTCTTTCTTCAAAAATTAAAATTAGTGATCAAATGTAAGAGACTTGATTATATTGTAGTAAAAGATTGCAGACTACACTTACTAAATTCAAAATGCAGATCTTCCATAAAATGTTTCAACATTGGTAAAATTGCTGAACTCATGTCAAGTTGCAAGGAAGTAACTTTGAAGGACCAGCATGAAATGGCCATTATGTATGATAAGTAAAGTAAAGTAAAGATGTCCCACTATACACCATGTAGGCACTTGGGGGGAGAGGTGGTATAGCTCCTACTCATTCTTGACCTTGGTACTAGAAGGGGGTGAGTGGTCAGAATCATGTTCTGGCCATTGTTTACTCCCGGGAAAGGATTCTGGTACCCATTGGATAGGAGGCTGGGTTGGCCCCAGAACCAGTCTAAATGCCCCTGTTGGATATTGAACCCCAGTCATCCAGTCTGTAGCAAGTCACTATACTGACTGGTGATAAGAACAAAGAAAAATATTTGGTTTCAAAATTATTTGGTCACATCTTATTGATTGCAGTCATGTTTGTTGTGCAATAAAATCAAAGTTGTATGTGTCATGGGTATTACTGCACATTTTCTTAATTAGCATTCTTCCATTTCTGTAGAAAGTTTTTTCAGAAAACTGGAAATTAGGCAGAACTTTATAGTTGTGTAGTTAATCTGATACGTTGGGAGATAAGTAGCTACGTCTCCAACTTTACCTCTGTTTAATGAACTCCTGTTTATCCATGGGCATGTACAGTAATGTTTCTTTATATAGTATGTGTACTACATGTGACACACTGGGCTCCTGTACTTGAAGAACTTTGAGAGTCTTTTCCATATTGATGCTGTAGTACTGTTTACTTTAAAACTAAACTTGCATTTGTGTAGGTTGAAAAGCAGTGATGACAGTGGTGAGGAAGAAACTGGTAGCAAAGATCTTCAGAAGGCAGAAAAGGAGTCCTTGGTAAGCAGTGTGTTTTCAAAATGTAGTTGCATGTTACAGCCTCCATTAACTATACTATTTATGTTTTTTCTCTACCTTATTTTTCTAGTTTTCTTAATTTATTAAGCCATAAGCGTTTTAACTGTATGGGTCTACTTCATAGCTGAATCCTTAGTTTGTAGCGTTTATTGTAAAGCGTAATGCAGTGCTGAAAAATAGGCAGAAAATATCCATACTCTGGATTAATTTGATTTAAGCATACACTTGGTCTAAGACTATACATATTTCACACTCTTTAACTTGACTGCAATAAGATATAGTCATGCAGTGTTCATATGTACTTATCCAAGGAGTTCTACCAACTGTCTAATAGATCAAAGCCAGTGAAAGTTGGGACCCGCAGATGCTCAAGGCACTGAAGAATGGGTTGTCTAAGTATCCTAAGTAAGTAAGTGTTCATATGTGTATGATTTTTAGTTTAATCTTTATGAGGTGACGCTGTTGTGTTTAATAATGTACCTAATGGCATAATACAGGAGCAGTTACCATTTGTGAGAATTCAAGTTCTTACAGTGGCAAGTATGAAGATGACTTTCTTCTGAGATGTTGCATCCTTTAGTCTTTTAGAAATTAACCAACATTTCGAAGGTGCTCCTGATCTGCTTGTGGGAATAAACATTTGTAATTGGTTTCTTCAATATGTGCATGATGGAGAAGTTGATCTACGATTAATGTTTTTCTCTGATGAAGCCTTGGTTTCCTTATGTGAAGAGGTGAATACTCAGAACAGTCGGTATTGGAGTGCAGAAAATCTGAGTATTATTCACAAACTTCCTATTTATGATGAGAAATTGGTGTTTGGCATGTTATAAGTGCATGCAGGATAATTGGACCCAACTTTTACGGCAATACACTTAATGCTGCCAGGTATGTGAACAACGTCCTATACCCATTCTTTGCCGAGCTAACAGAAAAGGAAAGTCTATACAGTATTTTCCAGCAAGATTCTGCAACAGCTCATAAGGCACACACAAGTTTGGAAGCATTGCAAGAGGTTTTTGGAGACCACATAATTAGCTGTTGTCTGTAGACCCCCCTCCCCCCCAATGTTCCCTTGATTAAACACCTTGTGACTTTTATTTGTGGGAAAGTTTAAAAGATAAAGCATATAAAACAAATACCCACACTCTGGAAAACTAAGAAACAACATCCCTTGCAATATTTTGGCAATTTCTGCTAAAGAACTCCAGAGAGTTAACAACATGTTCTGCAGGTGCACTGAGTGCATTCAGTCAGGAGGGCAACATTTTCAGCATCTGCTGTAGCACTTGTTAGTTTGTATTATACGTTATAAAAGTTATTCTCACTGTGAAAGCTTACTGTCAAGATTTAGCTACTTTTACCTACTGCTACTGCTACAGATGCAGAACAGGTCAGTGCTGGACTAGCCACTTACATAGCCGCTGTTTCACGGACAAACAGAACAAGATTGACCCTGTACATGTTTCCTCCTCACAGGGGCAAAACATGTAGTTTGATAAACAGAAAGTGGTAAACAGTGTGTGAAAGTGACAATTAAAACAAGCATAAAATGTTTGTGTCCAAATACTTATACAGTACTTATCAGATCATTGTTACATGGTTGATACGAGGTTTTCTTTGTAGCAAGAAATGTTATGTGACAAAGGCAAGATGGCAGCCCGCTGTAATTATATATTTTAATGAAGGAAAAATAGTGGCGATAGTGAACTCATGCCTGTACAAAAGAATATGCAAAAATATCTGGGCTGTATGTATGGTTTGATAAATTTTGAGCACCAAGTGTCATTATGTTAAGGCAGTTGTACTTTGCTGCAGGATGTCTACCTGTTCAGGTGAAGTAAGCTGCATTGATAGCTCTGGATGTCACTGGATGAAAGGTGAAGGTGAGGTAGTTCATTCACATATTGGATTTGATTGTCCTTTCTTATTGTTGTTTCCATTTTTATTGTGTCTATCCATCCAGCTTCAATATTATGCTATGAATTTTAGCGATTATGTTTTCTTTGTGATGATGGGGTGCTCTCCCATTTCCCAACCTCCTTATATGGAAGTCCAAGATTCCCTTTAGTTGAAGTGCACCAGTTTTATGACATCAGGAGCTCTCTATCACCAGTTTCTGTTTTCTAGAATCCTCAGATTGCATTGCCCATCTTTTATGCTGCATTTGCCATTGTGGATGTGAAAATGTGATTTTCTGGCAGAGCTGCTAAGCATAGAGGAAGCAATAGTTGAGACAGATGAGTGGTGTGAATTTAGACGAGGTCATTCATATTTCGACAACATTTTATATTAACCCGTGTCAACCATGCATTAGATCTCACACACATTTGACTTGATTGTGCATCTCAGTGGCCGTGTTGCTAAATTGTTGATCCTAGTGTTACTGTCCATCCTGCAGCCCTGTAGTACAGCATTTTAATCCCCTGATTCCATACGACAAAAGTTAAAGCACTTGTCTGAAAGAGAACTTGTGATAGACTCGTGCATTTGATATTTGTTTACCTACAAAAGATTGTGACTCTGCCCTTGGAGAGCCTAGCAATAAATGGAATCAATGTGGCATATATTAAAGCAGCAAGAAACTTGCATAAAGACAGCAGTGCTATGTAAATGTGGGGAACAAGTTTTCACAATTTAGAGTAAGGATTGAAGAAGAGGTGCTATATTGCATCTGCTTTATTTAAAAATTTACCTTGGTTGAGGTCTTGCTGGCTTAGAAACATAAGTGGATGAATATGGGAGTGATTGGAGATAATTTCAGCTGTTTGCAGAAAATACTAGCTATATGATGACAAAGCTCATAGAAGAATATTACAAATAGGGATTGGAAGCAAACATGAGAAAGACTTCATATGTGGTTGTATGTGAAAACGGAGATCTTGTAGGCAATGAGCAAATAAATGTTGGTAAAAAGTTTAACTCTGGAAGTGATGTAGGATTTGAGGTTTTCACGGCAGTGAGTCTGAAGATTGCTGTCTTCTGGGTTGTTGCACCTTGTAGTCTGGTAGAAGTTTACCGACGTTTCAGAGGTCCTTGCTGCCTCCATCATCACCTTGATGATGGAGGCAGCAATCTTCCGGAAGTGATATTTGCAGATATTTATGGTACTAATGAGAATATTAGTTAAACATTAGTCAGGGAAATAGATTCCATGTTATTAATGAGAGAATAACAAGAAGATAAAGACAAGTATTTATAGGACCATCACAGAAAGTATTTGCATGTATTGGTTGGAAACATGAGAAATTCACATCTTAAAAGTGAATGTGTAGTGGGTGCAAGTTCTGGTAGCCAACTACAGGCACAGTAACATCACATTTTCCATGAAACCGAAAATGGTTCGCCAACTACCCTTTCTGGGTGTCGTGGTCAACCGATGCCCAGAAAACTCACTGGGGTACTCCATCTATAGTATAGCCACCCACACAGACAGATTCCTACATGCAGCGTCACACCATCCATGAGCACACAAGAGGTCCACCATCGCCACCTTGATGGACTGAATGAATGCTCTGTGTGACAAAACCAACCAGGCCTCATAACTACAACATGTTGGGTTCATTGTCGGAGCCAACAGCTGCTCCCTGCAGGATATCAACAGATTCTCTTAACCCAGCTGGACCATGTGAAGTACCACAAAAACAAACCAGAGGGCATACCTACCATTTGTACATGCTACTGCAGAAAAATAACATTCATACAACATAGAAACTAATCAACAAAATTGCTTCTAGATTAAATTTACATCTCAGAAATTGGGTGTTCCTGTGGCAGGGTGTACATTAGCCAAACTGCCATCACATCTCCACCAGGATTACAGAACATGTAAGACACCAGGCTGGAGAACCAACAATCAGCCGTAGCCAAACACTGTACAGAAATCATAGCCAACATCAGCAGCTACCATACCTACTTTTTCAGAGAGCAGTCAGAATATTCAACACCCACATAACTCTTAAATGTGAAGACACCTACAGGCCAAGTAAAGCCTGGCTTCACCCGTTTTAGTTGTAAGGCACTGTTTACCATTTCCAGCAATGCATCTCGTGCGCAGGAATGGTGTGACATAGCAAGGGATGATGTCTTGTGCTTGCACATGACTCCGCCTGTAGTTAGCTTCTTGGTTGATTGGTTGGCCCCACTACACATCACTTTGCATGCATGGACTGGGCTGCATTTCAGGTTTGCCTTGAAGACGGACTCCAGGGAATCCTATGGTAAAAGACGAAGAGGCAATCGACAAGTGTGTCAAGGAGCTGACCAGCACCAACCAAGATGCCACAGCTGCATCTGCTCCCAAGCGTCGACATACGGCCCCCTCTACCCGCTAGTATTTAGGATGACATACGCCCAAAGAACCGGTTAAGGAGGCAGTGGCAGGTTACAAGGGTCCCCACTCTGAAAGTCCATATCAGCCATCTCCAGAGGTCGGTGACCTATCGACTGAACGAGCGGAGGAACGAATATTGAAGTGATACGCTTGAATTCTTGGGCAGCTAGGACCAATCACCATGGAAGATGACAAAGAGGATGATGCGAAATCTCACTCTGTCGTCCACTTGCAAGTGCCGGGAGGATAAACTCTCTCAGACTCGTTGAGGTTGAGTTTCAGCCGGTGGACGACCTATCGGGGCGATTATTAACATGGTTAACGAGGCGATATGCGCATACGAGTATGCCCCCGGAAGTGAACCAAAATTAACCAGTCCCTCGGAGGTATCAAGGGACTCAAGTCTGGCAAGGCTGTGGGGCTGTACGGTTTTCTGAACAGGGCCCTGAGATCTACCAAGGCGCGCGATAACCTTTCTCACATAAGTGTTTAACGCAGTCCTATGCAGGCAGTACTTCCCACTAGCATGGAAACAAGCTCGCATGGTATCCACACTAAAGCCGAGGAAGGACCCCATGCCTCCCTCTTCCTATAGACCCATCAGTCTTCTTGACACTATTGGTAAGATGTTCTATAACAGAGGTTTTACCTTTTTTCACTGGCATACCACTAATTCTAATTTAACACATTGTACCATTAACCAAATGCGCTCAAGGAAAACTTATTTATGTTAATATTATCTTTTGATTTTCATACTTAGTTCGTATACCATTCAACATTGGCTTGCGTACCATCAGTGGTACGCATACCATAGGTTGAGAAACTCTGTTCTAGAAGATCCTACTCACCAGGGTCCTACGTGAGGTAAACGAGTGCAGGCTGCTGCATGACGCGCAGTTTGGGTTCAGACCAAGACATAGCATGTTGCTGCAGCTGACCCGCCTTGTTGAAAGAGTCAACAGAAATTTTTATGAGAGGTGGCTAACAGGTGCAGTTTTCTTGGATGTGGCCAAAGCCTTTGACATAGTGTGGGTCAAAGGCCTCGTTTACAATCTAATGGTTCTGAACTTTGCTTCGTACATGGTGAAAACCATCTCATCCTACCTTGGCTGCTGACAACCACATGTAGCATGGGGACTGGAATGGCTCAGGGTGGACTCGTCTCTCCTGTGCTGTTCGGTCTGTATGTGAACAAATACCTACACACTCCCACCATGTTGAGGTAGAACAGTACATGGATGACACAGCTATCATAGCCACGTCTCATAGTCCATTGCTTCTTGTTGGTTATCTAGAGGGTTGTGTCGATAGAGTGGAGCTCTGTCTACAGGCTTGTCGGATTGCTTGCAACATCTCCAAGAGCACCGTTTTGCTCTTTTTTAAGGCCACAAGATGCATCCAAAAATCTAGAGCAGTTCAGTGCAGTTTCTCAGAGGGCCAGTACGGTGGGTCACTACAGGAGCTGCAAGTTACATCACCTTGCATGGGCATATATCTTGTTATTGTGCATGCAGCTCGTAAAATTGCCTTGAATGAAACAGGATCTACAAGTTCTGTATGTGACCTGTATAATGGCACTACAGACAGATGGCGAGGCAGTTGTGAGTTTGCAAGGTGATTAACGGAGTTGGTTGGTGCAACATAGAAGTGTGCAGTTTGAAGTGTATAGTATGTGTGTCCTACTGTAAGAAGCAGAGTCTAGGCAGTAGATTGAATGAGCAAGATTTATGATTCATAACTGTAAACTGCCATTAAGAGAATAATTATTGTGGGAGTAAGAAATCCATATTTTAGACAGAAACATAATAAATTAATTTGTGATATATTTTAGTGAACGTACTAAAATAATGTGCCAGTTAAGGCAACCTGTATTTTGGTGTTTCAGACTCCAATAGATGTTCCGGCAGGTGAACACAAGTTGCAGTACGCATATTGCTTGTGGTTCAGTCGGCGGTCCCCAGGAAAGCAAGCTTCTGTGCAGAACTATGATCAGAATTTGAAGCTGATAGGACGGTTTGCCTCTGTGGAGCAGTTCTGGGCCTTGTATAGTCACCTAGTGAGACCATCAGACCTACAAAGTCATAGTGATTTTCACCTATTCAAAGTTGGAATAAAACCAATGTGGGAGGTGAGTTTCATATTGGCCACGTGCTGTTTATTGTGGTAGAAACTATTTGTGGGATTCATAAAATGCATGGTGTCATTATTGTACACTTTTAAATTGCCAGTGTACAACTCAGCTACACTGTGTTCTAGTAAGCATCAGCTTGCATCCAGTAAACTGGACATATACATGAAGATGGCTGCCTTCTGGGTTGTTGCACTGTGTAGTCTGGTAGAAGTTTACCGATGTTTTAGAGGTCCTTGCTGCCTTTGTCATTGCCCTGATTATGGAGGCATGAAGGACCTCTGAAACGTCGGTAAACTTTTACTAGACGACACAGTGCAACAACCCAGAAAACAGCCATCTTCAACCTCACCATCATGAAAACCTCAAATCCTACATGGACATACATCTCTGAACTTCACACACAGTGCCCAGTATACTGGCCACAGGGATTTAAAAGGTTAATCCTGTGATGGCTTCACGCCATCAAATCTCCCTTTAGAGCTGCAGTTGGTATGGTGAGTGTATTTATTTGTGTTTAATAATAGAGGATATGTTTGTAAATCCCATTATGCACAAAAGCCTACATAGTTTGTAAAGAAGGTACCTAATATTAATAAAGTAAATGCTGTAGTTTGTGAACTGCCGAGCTGGAAGCACTACTTACTGCCACCATATACTGTAATTACATTGATGTGTCTGACACAGCTTTCCAGATCTTCTTGTTCATACAAAAGTTACTGTTCGTTATATCTTAATTTTTGTCAAACCTTATACAGAATAAAATATAAATGCTTGCCACAACATATAATGTAGGGTGCTTAAATTATCTGGTCATATGCAGTGTTAAATGGCAATGCCAAGGCTAAATTTTGGATTGAGATTATCTTCATTGCATGGAATATATGTTACTATTATCACTATTATGTCATACAGCACCATCCTGTTTTGAAAGAGGCTTAATATGGTTTTGAGGCAGTAAGTTCCTTTATCAGAATCTATAAGAGCCAAGTGAGTTTCTTGGCAATATTCCCTCCTTAATTTTTTTTCTCCAGATTATTTGTGTGAAACGTTGGTAAACATCTACCATACTACATGGTGCAACAACCCAGAAGACAGAAATCTTCATACTCACCGCTGTGAAAACCTCAAATCCTACATATTTGTGTGTAGTTTGAATATTTTATATTTTACTACGAATGTAGTAATGCATATGGAAATGCACAAAGAAACTCAGCAGACAATGCACCTCTGAATCTGCTACAGCAGCACTATCATGCCTAATGACTGCTGTGTTATATCACAACTTGCCTCTCTGCTGAAGTGGTGTACAGAAAGTGGTAACTCTATATAGTAAGAATTTTGTTAATCATAAATCTTACCTGAGATTTGAGGTTCTTTCAGCAGTGAATATGTTGATCATGGGCTTCTAAGTTTGAATGCCTTATAGTCATGTTTGTGGCAACTGGCATTTTGTAGGAATTATGTAATTTCTTGCAAGACTGTATGGTGTTACAGCCTAGAATCTTAGTTGTTACTTCTCTGTCCTGAACAGCATTTCCAGTTATTTAATAATATGTTAGTGTTACATAGACAGAAGGTGATGGAAGTGTTAATGTTTATAGAAATGGAATTTATAAACTTCTTAATTGTTGGCAAAAGTGCATTAATTCTGATGGTTCTTATTTTGATTAAAAATTTATATTTTAAGCTGAGATATGTTTCGTTAAAGTTAAGGTTGAAAATCCGACATTTCATATTGAACAACCTAATAAGCTTTGTTACCTGCTGTGCCTAGTAATGCGTACTTACAGTACTTAACCTGTATATGTGTGGTTTAGGATGAAGCAAATCAGAGAGGAGGAAAATTGATTTTGCGACTGAGGAAAGGGTTGGCATCACGTTGTTGGGAAAACTTAGTTCTAGCAATGCTGGGGGAGCAGTTCATGGTGGGAGAAGAGATATGTGGTGCAGTTGTGTCAATTCGGTACCAGGTGAGCAAATAATATGTATGTATTATATTGAATTTTGTATTCTTTCCTAATAGCTTGGACAAGAATTTCTGCTCATTTTGATATATTTATGTATATTTTAGCATGAAGTGCATAAAATAAATATGTAATATGGAGGTTATATTTGAATCGTGATTTCAGTCACAGTTCATAGTCATTCCAGCACACATACACATCTCTGAAACTTCAGAGCTACAAAGTATGCAGATGTATCTCTTAAACAGACTCAGTATGCTATGTCAGTGGTAAAAGGGATAATAAAGAACTTAAAGGGGAAGAGAGAATAAGACATCATAAATGTGTAAATGAAGGAGCAACACCTGTGATGGCTACAACAAACCAAACACTCAAAGAGTCAAGAGATTGAGATGAGTGTTGAAACTAGTTGGGTTGCAAATAAATATTATAACTGAGTTGCAGTGTTTGGTTATATCATATGAACATAAGTCTGCAATGTTTATTTGAACAGTTTTTCCTGTATATTTCTTGGTTTTCCTAGTTTCTCCAAGCAAATACTGTGATAGTACCTTACAGTTGATTACATTCTCTTTCTTATCCCTCTTTTACATATCATAATTTATTATTGCCCTGTAATTTTGCACTTGATAAAATATTGTCTGTGTAGATAACATAACATTATTAAATGTACAAAGAAATAATAATGTTTCGGTTAAAGAGATGTACTGAGATATCTGTTATATTTTTGCATGTTTGCCATTCTGTCATAATTTTTTCTTTTGTCTAAAAGTGTCATAAAGGTTGTGAAAGGGATTTGAGTGCCTGCAAAAAATTGTAGTTACTAAATAATTTTGTTTAAATTGCTTTCATCCCTGGTGGTTGCTGAAATGTGTTCCAACAGATTATGTGATCCTTGATATTGAAAATAACAGTATTTTAATGTTTGTAGGAGGATATAATATCAGTGTGGAATAAGACTGCATCAGATTCATCAACAACAGCGAGAATACGAGACACATTACGAAGAGTCCTTAATTTGCCTCCAAACACGATACTAGAGTACAAGACTCATAATGACAGCCTTAAGTAAGTACCATATTTGGAATTCATAACATCTGGAAGCTTACACTGGTGCAATGTAATTTATAAATTTGTTTTGTATGTTGGAAACTGCTAACCCACTGACAGTGCAAAGCGTTTTGTTTAAGTTTGAAAGCCTTTGGATACAGAAATTTAGTTTCACTACTGTTTTGTAATATTAAGTTTTTAAATGCAGATAATTTGTGTGAAGGCACTTAAAGTAGACATTAATGTTTTCACAAACCTCTACAGTGGCAGTTCTATTTGAATATCTACGAGCCATGTATCTATAATGGTTATATTACTATCAAATTTTGTGTAAGTGGCTGTATTTTTCTTCACTTTATATTTTCACAAGCAGCTGTACCTTTGTATTCCAGCATGACTGACTCATTCCTTTTATAAGGTCTTTCTTGAGATGTCATTTGATACTAATCTGGTTAAAACAATTTCATGATGTGGAACCTGAATTTTCATGTTCTTCCTACTGACTGATTCCTTTTCTAGGTTATTTCCTGAGAAATCTTTTCCTGGTTTATACTGGAAGTGCTTGAACAAAAACATGATAACTTTAATATGCATCGTAAGGTCAAGGAGATCAGCGGATTATATCGATCACGGACAGTTTGACGCCTATTAGATGAGCACAATAACATCATCGATAAGGATCAGAGAATCGACACTTGGAAGAATTATATTGCTGTTCTATTCCAAGATAAGAGAAATAACAATATTCCAGAAATTAGTGCTGACTCTGGACCACATATCACTGTGGATGAAGTTCTTTACGCTTTTGCACAAATGAGAGACGGAAAGGCTCCGGGACCTGACAACTTTCAAGCTGAGTTCCTGAAACTGTTAGATGATGGGATTAAGTGGTTGACGAAGGTGTACAATTGCATTTATGATGCAGGAAAAATTCATTATGAATGGCTGAAATCCACATTTATACCTGTCCCCAAAAAATCCAGTTCAAACAAATGTGAGGATTATAGAACAGTTAGCCTCATGAGCCACTTGTTAAAATTACTGTTGAAGATGATTCATAGATGAATAAACAGACTATGCGAAGAGAAGATTACTCACACCCAGCTTGGATTTCGAAATGCTCTGGGAGCAAGGGAGACACTATTTTCGATCCAAGTATTATTTCAGCGCTTCAGAGATGTCAACTATGATGTGTATGCATGTTTCGTTGACTACCAAAAGGCCTTCGATAAAGTTCGGCACGATAGGATGGTGGAAGTCCTGATTATCTCCAATTCTATTCAATCTCTTTTTGGAACACACATTCGAAGAAGCATTGAAAAATGTAAATGCTGGAGTGCTTGTGAATGGAGAACGATTAAATAACATTCGGTACGCGGACGATACTGTAGTGTTCGCCGACTCTCTGGAAGGTCTCCAAGAATTGGTGGATCGTATTGTGAAGGCCAGTACCAACCACGGCTTAGATCTTAACATCAAAAAAACAAAGCTCATGGTCATCAGTTAAAATGCTGTATTACCTGGTAAGCTGGTAGTTAATAATAAACAAATAGAAAGTATAGAAATATACATACTTGGGCAGCACAATTAATGACCAGTGGGATCACTCCTTGGAAATAAAGTGCCCTATCGAAAAAGCCAGAGCCACGTTCATCAAAATGGGATCAATGTTCAGGAGTAGAGACTTAAACACCAAGTTAAGACTACTCAGATGTTATATTCTCTCCGTGCTCTTATATGGCGCTGAATCGTGGACGTTGACCGAAGCTTCTTCAAAAAAGTTGGAGGCTTTCTAAATGTGGTTGTACCAACGTATTCTCAGAATTTAATGGACTGACCGTGTAACCAACAAAAAAGTTCTTGAGAAAGTTGGAATATTTCGGTCATATCATGAGAAATAGTGATAGATACGGGCTGCTTAAGCTTATAATCCAGGGAAAAGTATTCGGAAAGAGGGGACCTGGCAGGCCAAGAATCTCCTGGCTTCAGAACCTAAAAGCTTGGTTCTCGATGTCCACTGGAGGGCTGTTTCACGTAGCAGCCAGTAAAGCTCAAATTGCTATGCTGATCGCCAACATCCATAACGGATAGGCACTTTAAGAAGAAGATACATTTCCAAGGTTTTCCCATAGATATCAACTTTTATTTTTTGTGTGTATGTGTAGAGAGAGAGAGAGAGAGCATGCTGGTCAAGAAACTTTCTGTTATAGAACTGTAAAGTCCTTTACCATTATCACATTAACTTGCCATCGAGATCTCTTCTGAATCAGGTAGTCCAATTCAGATCCTTCAAACACATCATGGTTATACCAAAATCATGAGCATAGTCAAATTACACATATTTGTGTTGTATATAGCAGAACATGGTGGAATATTAATATATCCTTTCCAGTATCAGTATAGGTCCACTGCATGTGCACCACTGCAGATGAGTCAACAAAAGAATTTACATGAGTGTTAGGAGTTAAGGAAGTACTTGGCTGCCTGCCTGCTCTTCCACCATAACAACACTGCACAACTCCTCGTCATCGACTGTTTAAGCTGTCCCAATATACGTCATGTAGGTGCTTGGGGGGAGAGGATTTATAGCGCATATTCATTCTTAACTGCAGCACTAGGTGGGGGTGAGTGGTTGTCATGCCCCGGCTGAGCTTTACCCTCGAGAAAAGATCCCAGTACCCATTGGATAGGAGGCTGGGTTAGCCCTAGGGCCAGTCTGGATGCAGAGGCTAGATGAAGAATTCTCTTCCCCCCGTCGGGATCGAACCCCAACAGTCTGTAGCCAGTCACTATACTGACCGAGCTACTCCAGCTCCTCATTGAATAAACATAATGATTAATTATGTAGTAAATATTTCTATTAATAGAAATAAATGAAAAACAAACTGAGAACACCAGGGGAGAGAGGGAGAGCACTTGTTGATGGTGACGACTAGCGCTAGTGGGGAAGACATATTGCTAGGTCAATGGGTGGGGGAAAATCTTTGACTGTAATATTCCTCTGCAGTCCAAAGTCAGAAACAAGACGTGGCCAAACTGCCACAACTGAACATAACTTACAGAAGATTGACATGCTAATCAAAGGGAAATTGCAGCACAGGAGATGTCAGTGAGTTTAGGATATTATAAAGTTTGTTCCCATTTGGTTCCCCATTTGCTTATGGATGAAGATGTTGTTTCGATGACACCTTGCCAAAGACACTGACTTTCTGTTCAACATTGTGTCAGGTAATGAAAGCTGGTTTCACCATTTTGAAACAGAAATTAAATGACATCATGGAATAGCATTACATGACATCCTCCCCAAAAAGTAAAAGGCCAGAACTGTACCCTCAGCTAGTAAAGTTATGGGAATTATCTTCTGAGATGCTGAGGGATGCATATTGGTTTACTTTTGCAGAAAAGGGACACTAATGCAGATCACTATGTTCAGTCATTGAGTAATCTGTGATGTTCACTGTGAATGTGCCAGATGAAAAAGACTGTCTTCCTTCAACACATCAACATGTGGCTGCACATCGCATGCCTGAGATTGGAAATAGAGAATGGCTGGGAAATGCTCTCACGCTCGTTAAACAGTCCAGACTTGGTCCCCTCTGACTACATCTTTTTAGAACCTTGAAAAATCAAGAGGGGCCAGAATTAGGAGGACAGTGACTGAGTCCAGGAAGCCATGTGTAGGTAGTTGTGAGGCAGGGGCTGATATGAATTTCTTCCACAGTGGAATTTTAAGCTCATCATAACCAGTAGTGCTGGCAGCAATGTATGAAATTTTTTTTATTTTTTGTAGGAAAGTTATAAGACATGTCCAGGTACTTTCGACAGTGTCCGTTTTCTTGTATACAGTAAATGTATTTGTGGTTTTAGTATGTCGCATTGTTCTTTGTTGGATTTTAATATAATTCTCCTGAATGTGTCCTAATTTTCCACATGATATCTATCCATAAATTCACAACCAAAGATTTTAACATATTTTTATCCACTTTAAATATGCTGAGTGCATTACATGATCTTCTGTATCTTTTGCCAGGGCATGGAAAACAGTTCCTCCTCTGAAAAGCTGAAGCGTCATGATAACACTGTTGGATCCTGAGTGTTCATATTGTTGGAACAACCATTCAAATTATTATAGGATGAGTACAAAATTTTTGAAGAATATCAAGATATAAGAGTGTGGTTGCAGAATGTGACCTGCAAACAAGGACATAACCCCATGCTTATAATATATTCACTTAAGAATTGGGACACTACAACAGCACTGAATTTGACAGTGTTGAAGTATTTTCTGTCAGATATGCCGAGGTGCTGCAGACCCTTACCATTTCATATTAATTGGCGCTTGAAATCATCCTGAATTTCCAAACTTGAAAAATGTGACAAAAAGTTTTTCTGTTATGGTGAATTTGCACAGCATATATGCATGTATGTGTATGTAATGAATCAATATTGATATAGAATAGAATCAGATGAGGTGAGAAACAGTTTCAGTAATTAATTTACTTCTTTTGTTTCTGCTGGTAAAAGATAAATGTGGATATGTTTGGTATGTCAAGTACACTGTATACATAAAAAAAGAAAATGATGCCAGAAGATAGAAAATTTTCTGTAACATATAATTTATTGTCAGATTTGGAAGTGATAGTAAATAGATTTTTAGAACCAATGTGACCAAATCCATATTATATTGTAATAACATTTAGATTGCTTATTCATTTGGGGCCTGGATTTATGAATGATTCTTGATCTGGAACCAACTTTATGTTTATTGCAAAGCACAAAGGTAGAGTGGCTTGTAATATGACATGATCTTGCCAATGTGTATCATAATCTGTAAGTTGGTTTTAAATAAAAGAGAATAAGAAATCATATTTTCATCCTTGAAGAAGTTCAATCGTAGTAGGAGTTGCTACTTTTCCTGGTATTGTGTACCTAATATGATTTTTTTGAAGTAGAAATTTTTCAAAAAAATTTAATTTCGTGCTTTTGAACAATTTTCTATATATTTTTTTATTTTTAAAAAATCTAATATTTTTTTCAAAACTGCCCGCATCCCGTGCTTGCCGGACCCAGTCTCTGCGGTACACGTTATCGCCGGATCCGGAACCATTCTCTGCCGGACTCGGTTTCTACCGTACCGGGTCCCTGAACTGCCTGGTGTATGCTTGACCCGGTCTCTGCGAGACTAGGTCTCTGGCGCTCCGGTTTTCTGGTGAAACCACTTGAAATTTTTCAAAATTTAAGAAAGTTCGTGAATGTCATAAAAAAGTTAATAAAAGAAATTTTTGAATTTTTTTTATTTTGAAATTTTACAAATAATTCTAATTTTGAACAATTTTCGATAATTTTTTTATTTTTAGAAAAGTTTGAAAAAATCCAAAATTGTCTGCACACCGTCTCTGTCAGACCCAGTCCCAGGAGGACTCCAGAACACATTGTGCTGTTTCCTCGCCACTATAAGTCTCCTTTTTTTCCCCACAATTCACAAGCGCTCTCAGCAGCAATGTGAAGAACTACAACAAACAAATGAAACTTAAGGTTACGCTCTACAGATATTTGCTGATAGCACATTTTGGCTGCAGGTAACACGGTTACAGTTCTCCAAAGGTGTGCAGCTATTTTTGACTTACCCTGTATAATTTTCACTTACCTGGTCAAGAAATGTCTGGCCTTTATGGAACTAGAAGGTCCATTACCATGTTCACAAAAATCAGCAATTGGACCCTTCCGACATACTGTTTCTTTAAAATCCCTTTTAATATTATCCTCCCATTTATGCTAAAAAATAATCTGAAATTGTATCAGTAAGAGGAGACAAATTTATTCCCTCTTGCAGTGTTGATATTAGTACAAGAAACAAAATTAAGGATAAAATGGCTGTGATCGAACATATTTTTTGTACTTGCGGTTTGATTAGTGAGAAATGCAATTTACAAAATATGTACCTCACATCTCTGTAGTTTATTTACAGTATGCAAGAAACAAAATTGTCCTTAACTACATGGTGTCTCAAAAGTCATCCCACCCAAAATTTAATGTTATGATTATTGTACATATTACATTATAGCTACATATTCATATTATAATTACATAATTGAAACATATCTTGAAAGTTTCCTGAGCCCTGAAGTAAATGCACAGTGCAGCAACTGGAAAACAGGACTGATGGTGGAAAAAAATAATGGTTCCATGTATAAGCAATCTGAGCATTGTTTATTCAAAGTAGCTTCCTCCTGCATCTACACACTGCACACAATGATCATGAAGCAACTGGAAGGAATGGTGGATGGCCGTGTCTGGAATTCTGTTCAGTACTCTTGTTACAGCCCTTTGAATGGTGTCCACATCATCAAAATAACAGCCTTTCAGTGGTGCTTTGAGTTTTGGAAACAAAATGAAGTCACATGGTGCTAAGTCCTATACAATTATCCAGAAGTATTTACTGACTTCCTATTCATGCTTTTAGTGACAGGAACACAGACAATACTCGCAAATGCCGACTATGATGCAGAACATGCTTGGTTGGTGTTGGCTACCCAGCTGCTCGTCTCGACGATTACTGCCTAATTTCTGCCTCTTTTTATACTAATTAAAAGTAGTACAAAGGTCTGGGGTGGAAGAGTGAAACCTGAATGGTGAATAATTGAATGGTTGGTGAATAATTTGGGTGACTTATGCTTTCACCAGAGGTTACATCAGTAATCCTCATGTTCCATTAAGCACAAAGTGTGACAATGCGTAGGTTACATCTACAAACCTTGAATCATCGCTAGCGGCTATGTATCAAGACCTTCCTGTTTGTCATCTTAGGGTGTTACTCATTGCACAAGTCATATTAAGATGTGATAGTTGCTCTACTATCGAAATTTAGGGCGTGAGACCATTTAGGTTTCCAAATATAAAAATATATACCTTTAAACTTTGGATTGTGTGAATATTGGACATACAACAGTAGATTATCTGCTGTTGTTAGTTACCTTAGTGGAGAATGTAATCAAACCCACAAATCACTATAAGAGGAAAAAATACTGACAAACTAATTCTGCAATAACATGAGAAAAATACTGCTCACAAATCGCAAGCACTGTAAGAAAACTAGGAAAATATGATTACACAACAGCAAGTTGTGTAAGAAGGGTGAAGGAATATTACTCAAAATATCTCAGATTCTTACCTGCTGTGGAAGGCGATGCAAGATATGCCAGTAGGTGCAAGAAGCATTGGTGTAATGAGTGAGTGTCCACTGATTGGTCTCTGGGTCATATGCTTCTACTGAGTTCAATTCATTCTCACTATCATTCCACCAACAATTATTTTACCTGTAAAAATGAATCAGCTATTTGCAATTTCTAAATCTATATAGGTTTCAGTAATTAATATGTCCTTCTCCTTTGTATCATAGCAACTGTAATGACATGGCTGGCTTAAAAATTTCTAACTTTCTAAATCTTTTTAATTTTCAAAATTTGCAAACATCAGCAATTTTAATTTTCAAAATTTCAAAATTCATAAATAATTTCTTTTTATAATTTCAACATTCAAAATCCAACATTTAAAATTTACATTTAAACATTTACTTCAGTAAAAACAAGATCCTATTATAACACTGATACTAATCACTACTTGATTTAATACATTGAAATCCACACTGATGATCAACAATAATTTTGTTTCATGTCTAAAATCGCCAGACAGGTTGCTATGACAGTTGATGTAGGACACTTAGTAAATGCTGTTTATGGCAAACTTTATATCTTTCATAGACTTCAATTAAAACTTATATTTTACATAAGAGTGATCATTTATTCATTCTAATTCATGTGTTTGTAGTTTCTCTTAAAAAATGGCTTGACTGCAACATAAATAAATTATCATGAAAAAGAGGCAAAGTGGGTACAACTACTCTGTGAATAAGCTTAAATAAACAAATAAGGCAAACTATTTACTTGGTAGAAATAAAGAAAATGAAAACGCTTTTTCCTCTCTCCCAGGTAATATTTAATAAGGCATGGTATCAGCAGAGTTGTGTGCAACTCACCTTAATCCATCTGTTTGCTTGCATGTCATAAGTTTCAATCAAATGTATTGGGTTTCCATCACTAAGCCCTCCAATAGCAAACAGAATGTCCTGTGGGATTCATGGGTGGGCAATCTTTGGCATCAAGAATTACTTGTGTTTCATTTTTATCATCTGTACATCGTACAGGAACGTTAACGTCTCCAAGATCATGGGTCTGCACCGCTGATCTTCCTTCACATATGGGTGATCTGCTACCTGTTTAACAGTTCAATGCAAATCTTATAACTTTTTAAGAATGGACAGCATGAATCATTACAGGTTTCACTACAGACAAAGACAAGAAATGCATACATAATTTTGCATTGGCTCTCTCACTGAAAGAGGCTATGGCATACATGGGAAAACAGATCTGTTGGTTTATGTAATGCTGCTCTTACACTTTTCATGTTATGGAGAGAAGTTAACATCAACCTTAGGGAATTGTATTTGAAAGTATTTCACCTGAAAGTAACAAAACTTCAATAAGACCTATATTTTGAATTACATTAAAAATTCTACATATATTTCTTGTCTCTCTCATGCAAGCTGCATGCTGCAATCATTACACTCTTTTCATTTGATAATTTTAATTCGTCATCACAATTATTTGCATCAAAAGAATTTTAACTCATCATCAAAATTATTTGCATCAAAAGAAAATTATGACAAATATTTATTACACTGAATAAACGATGGCTTTTAATGTTAACCATATATCTAGACAGAAAGATGAAAAAAAAAATATTACTTTTGTAAACATACATACATATATATGTCGGTGTGTACATTAAAACACAGGGATGAATGGTTAACCAATATCTGCCTAGTCTTTTAAAAACATAATAGGGAAATAGTAAAGCAGTGGTATTCCACAGGTAACTACAGTAACCAAGGTAATCATGATAATTAATCTGGGGATTTCTTACCCATTAACATTTGAGCACAAAAATAGTCACATCTTTGTGTAAATTTCCTGTTATTGTTGTAAGAGTTTAACCAAAATTGAAATTTGTCAACAGATTCTACTGAATCTCATCAGTATAAAATTTAATGAAAATACACTCAGATGTTCTCAAGTTGGAACATGCAGACAGACAGACATGATAAAGTAAATAGGCTCAACTTTTGCAATAATTACTTATGAAAATGTCTGAAAATGGAATTGGACTTGTGGGCTTCAGTGCACATTTTCAGAGGCATACTGACCTTTTCCTGGAAGGAAAGTGTGTCACGCAGTCCTAGCCCAACATTCTTCAACAGGTCCGCAATGTGGCCTTTTCTGTTTTCTGGGTCATGGTCAATCCACTTAAGTATACACTCCCACACAACTTCTTCATCCTTTACGTTTAGTTCCTCTGACCCGTTTATCCCTTACAACTCTTCTGCAGGCAGTTCTAGCAGTTCCTCACTCTTCTCAAGCACTTCCTCGAAGTGGCATAATGTGAATCGATGAGCTTGAGACTCAAGGTCAGTGCAGAAATAACACCTGTGGCAGTAAGCACAAGAACTGGCTCATGAGCTCCTTCAAACTTAATGCATTAAAATGATGCAGACAGAAATAAATTCTGAAACAATTTGCACACCACAGTATTTCACCTCAACATTTTACCTTAACCTTTTGAAGCTAAATGAATGAATGAGAGAGAGAAGATAAACTGGAGAGGCAGTAGTGACAGACACTACATTCAACCAGGAAAAACAAATAAATATTCAACTATGAAGGTTCCCAGGCAGTGTCTACTCATTCTTCTGGTAAAGATGGGTTGAAGAGACAGGAAGGCATTCAAAAGTGAAGAAGGTAGAGGGATGAGCAAGGAGAAAAGTTGAGCAGGGTCCTACTGCATTCGATCAGAATTTTGGATTCTGGCATTAACCTTCGCAAAGTGGCATTTGATGAACTGCATATGTTAATATGGGGAAGAAAATGTTGGGTACAATTTTTATATTATAATTGGGAGGAATGCATAAGAGACATGCAGTGCCACAGGGAAAGAAAGGATTTTGAGAAGAAGACCGAGATAATTATAACCCTTCAACAGGTTCTACTTTATGAAATTAGTCACTGGCTGGTCTTAAAGATGATCAAAACATCTGCAGTTAATACAGAATATATAAATTACACACACATTAATATTAACCTACAAATAACCCTGATGAAGCAGCACATTATCCTATGCCCAGTTCTAAGTTTGAGGCTTCATCTCTGACTCACTACTTGAGTGCTCTCAGAGTGAAGTTACTTTACTCTAGTAATGAAGGCTAGCATCTCAGAAAATGACAAATGAATATTACCTTGCGAAATGCATGATGCCAATACAAATGTCAAGGTCCAAGGTTTCAGCAGAGTTCAAGAACACATGGCATACACAAGTAATCAGGAGTCACAAGCAGCTGACACACATTGTCACAGTGGATGTCTACATTTCTTAAAGAAACATAATCCAGTATCTGCGTCATGATGTCCAAGCTTATGCCATGCAGAAGAATATCAGTTTTGTCATCGGTATTCAGCGTTGTGGTGAAAAGGCACCTGAAATGTCACAAAGCAGTCATTAATATGCACTGATTTTGAGATGGCAAGCAGGAATTCAACATATATCACAGTCTACATATGGCACTGATTGATCAGTTTGTCAACAATCAGTTCCCCATAAATAAACAAAGACGCTTATGCCTTTACATTGCCATTAAAAAATGATCACCAACCAAGAATTTTCTATTGAAAAGATACATCTGATTACAGTAAATTCAGAACATTTCATCCTTCTTCATTCCAGAGGAGCTGATGAGTAACCCCCAGCAAAAATCAGAAATTTAATGACAGGAAACAAATTAAGAGCTATGGAATGCAAGACAAATAAATGGATGTGATTGTTGAAATACTGGAAGAGAGGCACAGCTTGTAACAAGACATGAAAAACACCTATTGAAAAACAGAGACAATGTTTCATGGTTTTAATTCATTTCTTATTTTCAAGAATGCACCTATTTACTTAAAACACATGAAAAATTAATGCATACATAAATTCGTTGTGTGAGCATAATGCGACTCAAATTAAAATTTTACTGATTACCTTTCTCAGGAGCCAAAGGGGTAGTATGTGGTCTCGAGGGTACATATCCTGCTGGCAGATATGTACCATTAAAAACTCGGGAAATGCCATTCATTCCTACCAAGTCTGATGCGTGCATGTCCAAGTCATGACTGCCGGGCAACGTTTTACAGCTAAGTCTTGCAAGGGCAAACAAACGAGTTCCTGATGCTTTCAAAGGGAGGCAGCCCTGACAGAAAAACATCACTCCATCGGGATTGCTGGGGGTTGGGCGTGAGGCTGACAACCTCACTCCGTAAAAAAATATTTGTTATGAAACTTCAAGCTAAGCCTCGGAACCAGGAAAGGAAAACTCGGAAACAATCATAGCAACAGTAAATGGATATATGAATAGGTTCATGGAATGTAAGAACTTTATACAAAACAGGAGCCTTGAAAAGTCCATTACCACAACTAAAGAAGTTTAACACACAAATCACAGCCATTCAGGAAATGAGATGGCATGGTACAGGAATAATGGATATGAAAACACATACAGTGAAAACAAAGAGGGTGGACATGAGTATGGAGTGGCATTCACAGTCGAAAATTCAGTGAAAAATAATATACTTGATTTTAGAGCAATTAATGAATTGATCTGTATGCTTTGAATGAAAACAAAATTCTTTAATACTACTTTGATCAATGCATACGCACCAATGGAAGATAGAGAAAATTACATAAAAGAAGAATTTTATTTTAAATTAGAACAAACTCACAACTCAGCACTATCTAATGACACAAAAATAATTATAGGCGATTTCAATGGTAAAATTGGAAAAGATCTATACTCTGACACAATTGGAAAACACAGTTTACACCAAGAATCGAATGAAAATGGAATAAGACTGATCGACTTCCCTAGTAGTACAGGAATGATAATCACCACAACTTGCTTCCCTCACAAAGTAATTCACAAGCAAACATGGCAATCCCCCTATGGCCACACATGGAATCAGCTAGATCATCTTCTGATCGACAAGCGATGTGCCTCCAATATATTAGATTTTAGATCATTTAGGGGTGCCAGCTGTGGGTCAGATCACTTTCTCATAAGAGCCAGATATATATGTCACATAAATAGTGTGACAGTGGAACGCCAGAAGTCTCAGAAAATAAACATATCCTCACCAAAGAATCCAGACAAGACAAAAGAGTTTCAGACTAATATCAAAGTAGAGCTGAACACATTACAACAGGAAGTAAGTCCAAACCAAGGAATAAATGACAAATGGACAAAGTTTAGTAAAATAATAAAGGATGTAGCACAAAATACATTGGGTGAACAACTGAAAACTAACAACAGGGATTGGTTTGATGAGGAATGTAAAGTTGCTACAGATAAAAGGAACACATCATATCATATTTATTTAAATAGACCAACAAGATACGAATGATTAGCCTATGAAGAACTTTGCAGGAAGGCAGATAAGATCTGCCAAAGTAAAAAATGCATGGTGGACAATAAAAAAATGACAGAAATTGAACAAAATTTTAAGAATCATGACATCAGCCAAAATTTTCTTTTCTCTGGACAAATAAGATAAGGACACCAAATAATACACAACACGACGTTTAATGACACAAGAAACCATGTAATCAAAATTACTTACTTTTATGAGTACAATTATTATTACTCAAGTGGGAAGTTAGTGTGATGTTTGGCGCTGCATTTCATCGGCTGTTTTTCAAATTTGGAAGTGTAGGATGATGTAGCTGCTCGCAAACAATCGTCAAGATGCGCATTAGTAAGTAGAGATCTGTGCTTTGATGATATAATGTTCATAGTTCAACGGCCTTCATTATTCAGTATAACCTCTTTCCGTATCAATGCGGGCACCCAAAAAGAAAGCCTTGGCGGGCGCCGCGTTGGGGACCACTCCTCCAGAGTGAATCGTCTAGCCGGTTTCACGCGGATGAGAGTACAAGTAAAATGCTAGGAATTGTGGCGGTCAGATTTATGTTTCGAAGAGTACCACAAAAATTTATTCAGTCACTCCTCATCATCAAGTTTTGAAACGAAAATTTAAATTTGCAACACAAGTATCCAAACGTGACCAATGCAAAAATTATCCAAGCCAAAAACTGTTGTTGGAAGAACTCATACATCTTCCGGCTAAATCCTAAGATCAAAAACAAAATGTTCTACATAAGTTGGCAGGGCATTATCCCTCGGACCACGCAAGCACAGAAAATAGCAATTTCCACCTGATTGATTGTCGAATTTCTCATCTGTGAAGGGCGTCCCAAGTGATACAGCACATATTTGTTATAGCATGCATGCCAACTGCTGGATTGTATTATATATTTTGCGATATAATGCAATATATCAAATTATATGCGATTTATACTGAAAAAGTAAGGGAAAGCTATATAATGTGGGAATGATATTTATTTAAATTTCGTCACCATACCTTTGGGTAATAATATGAAGTTCTTACGTTTGTTCATATTGTTGGTGCTACTGTCGTTACGTTCGTAATGGATGACTGCAAAGTAGTGTGGTAGCATAATTACAGTACAAGTTTCAGTAGAATATTACATATTTGTAATTGACAGTATGAGCGAATTGGTGTGGGGAATTAAAAACGGCGACCTGGATCAAGTCAAAGATATTGTTGAACAGAAGGTAAATATGCTGCGTTGTTATATCTCAGGCGCATTGAAACCGGACGAGCTTGCTGTAGTATCAATTTTTGTTATTTAAATTGTTGTAGGAGATAGATGTCAATAAGGAAATTGATGGTCGGCCGCCCCTTCATTATGCAGCAGATTATGGTCAAGCGGATGTTATCCAGTATCTGCTGTCGAAAGGAGCTGATGTGAATGTAAGATAAACGATATGCCAGCATTTGTGTATACTGTTATAGAAGAAACTTGGACATTATGTGCGGTAGATGAGCAGAGAATTCTCTCAGAGCAGAAAGGAAGAAAGTGAACATACGAAATATTTGGTTTATAATTTTAATCACCTTTTCCAGATGATACAAATTCCTTTTGCTAATGTGCTGGAAAATTATATATTTACTTTACTTGCTTCCATTTGATTATGCCACATGGAATTATTTTGTGGGGAAACTCAGTAGAAAGCAGAAAGTATTTCCCATTCAAAAGAAAACCATTAGAATAATGGCAGGCACTAAAAGGAGAGCCTCATGTAGGGAATTGTTTAAGAAATTTAGTGTTCTTCCACTAGCCAGTGAATTTTTGCTCTCATCTTTTGTAGTGGACAATGTAGAAAAATTCAAACAAACTCAGATGTCCACAGTATAAGTACAAACACTGAACTCAGTAAATATCAAAATGGAGGTTATTATACAGAAATTAAGTTATTCACTAACCTCTCTCTCCTCTCTCTCTCTCTCTCCCCCCCCAAAAGTCTCCATCATGATATAAAGCAGTATCTCCTGACTCCCTCCTCTTACATCATAGAAGAATTTACCAGAACCAAAAATTCTGGCAGTTGTAAATACATGTAAGCAGTGGTTATTATTTCTTGTGTAATTTTTTTTGTAGTAATAGTGTAGTTGACTGTAAATTGCTGTCATTACTATGTAATTGTTTGTATTAGAGTAAGTATTTTATTTGTGCTGACATTTTCTACATCCTTGGCTTGGGCCTATGAAGACCTATGGAATGTAAATAAATTCTATTCTGTTGAGTGAGGCTTTAGCTTTGGTTATTCCAAATGATAAGTAGGCATTGGCAATGTCAAAACTAGATTTAGTTCAGTTTTTTAATTGAGTTCTTGATAGTAGTTGGATTACTTTAGATTATTATTATGCATGGTGATGTATGTTTTGAGGGAAAGTCATAATAATCTGTATTTAAGTTTTACAAATATAAAATCCAATACTAAGAGGATAAATGGAACCCATAATCAAAACAGCAGCTTGATAAGTTGCTGTACTTTCATCATGAAAGTTTACTATGTAAAATATTTGATGCATGTGTATGTGTGTTAACAACAGTAATGAGTATTTTGTGTTTCCAGGCTAAAGATAAACATGGAATTAGTGCTCTGTTAGCAGCTATTTGGGAAGGTCACACAGATTGTGTGAAATTACTTTTGGAACAAGTAAGTCTAGAGAGACCTGCTGAATTCACTTCCAGAATAAGCTTTGTCTAGACACACCAGTACTATAGCTATGTACACTTTCTGCAACAAAAACCGAGCACTGGAAATATTGGAAACCCCCAAACCAGAAGTGATGTAAGCATGCAGCTGGCATTATAATTCCAGTCATTTATAATGTTGTATTTGTCAATATGCAACTTTTGTGTACCTTCCATGAACTTCAATGATTTATGCCAGATATTTATTAAATAGGAACACAAATATGTCCATAATTTACAAAAAACCGTAATTAATGCTGATGACTTTTCCAAGTCTCTGACCTCAAAACAGGTGAAAGCTATACTTCGGCTGGTTGCCCACGTTCCCTTGTTGGCCAGTCACCATGTTAGGAGGGTGGTGTTGATGTGAACATCATGTTTGCAAGCTTTAAACCAATGTCTCAGTATGTTTTCTTAATGCTTGTCTTGTGTTCACATTACTCATTATATTGTGCAATTTTTATTTTATTCAGCTGTACATGTTTCAGTGCTTCCATTTGAAACTCACACGAAGAGCGACCATAAATGGATGGAATTGTGATATTCAAAAAAGAATGTCTAATTGTTGTTTGTCTGTAAACCATTTGCAGTCCGGTCACTACTTGTTAACGAGCAGCCACAGCTATCGTTTGTCTCAGGAAGGACTTGCCTTTACACACCAGTTCCAGTTCATGTGAACTTGCAGACAAAAACTTTGCATCAACACCAGTCCCCTACTGTACCAACTGGTCTACAAGAATATCCAGCTGAAGGAAACCTTTGAACTCTTTTTTTTGTCATGTTAGGACTCAGAGAAGCCGTTAACATTATTTTATGTTTTTCTTGAAATTAGGCAAATATATTGGTGACGCTGCAGACATCTGACATAAATAATTGTAGTTTTTGGAAGGTACAGACAAACCACATATGGACTAATACAGGAAATTACCAATTACTGGAATTATGACAGTAGGTGTACACTTACATTACTTGCAGTGTGCATGACCATTCTTTGCAACCCAGATCATACTTGGCATGGCAGTGTTTAATTTATTTCCAGTTTTTAATATCAGTGGAATTATGAACTAATTGCAGGTGAAGTCTTTAGTTATGATTTGTATGTTTCAAACATTCACTCTTTTAAAAGGAGTGTCCATTCTGGCATCTTGTGGTACAAGGAACTCCTTAGTTGAAAATGAAAGAGTTGTAACTACAAATTATTAATTTTAAAAATTGTCCTCTCTGTTATACACAGGAATGTGACTAAACATTTTTGTCATTAATATACGAGGTGCGATCAGAAAGTTTCCAGACTGTGTCAATAGAGGGCAAACCGGATGTAGTACGAACTTCTGCCGCTAAGGGGTTGGGCCTACATTCATTGTGAATCAGTGTGCCAGCTGGCATCATCGAATTAGCATTTGTTTCTTAGTTACGGGCGTTTTGGTAGTGTATTACACCGACCCTCCTGCGATTTCGGAATGGCGTGTGCATCAAATTTTGCCAAAGACTTGCCAAAACGGCTACGGAAACCTATGAAATGCTAAAGCAAGCATTTGGGGAGTCCGCAATGGGTCGTGCACAAACTTTTGTGTGGCATTCACGTTTTAAAAATGGCCGAACCTCTGTCGATGACGACGAGCGTTCTGGACGACCATCTTCGAGCACAACGCCCGAAAATGTTACCAAGATTCGGCAGGCCATTCACGAAGATCGACGTCGTACCATCAACGACTTGTGCGACATTGCTGGGATAGGCTATGGGACCTGTCAGCTGATTCTAAAGGAACAACTCCACATGCGACGCATCCTGTCAGAGGACCAGAAGCAGAATCGACTTCTCGTTTGTCAGGAACTCAAAGATCTTGCAAGAACCGACCCCAACTTCCTTTCTAAGCTCCGTGTGACTTCTTCCTCTTCCCAAAGATGAAAATTCAGCTAAAGGGAAGGAGATTTGAGACGATAGAAGAGATTCAGGCAGAATCGCAGATGGTGCTTGACAGGCTGACAAAGAAAGATTTCCAGGGATGCTTCCAGGCTTGGCAGCGGCGCTGGGATCGTTGTGTTCACTCCCAGGGGAACTACTTCGAGGGTGATGGATGAATGTAATACCTGAGATAAGTGTACGGGTTGTTATACGCGCAGTCTGGAAACCTTTCGATCGCACCTCGTAC